CCCCAAAACCCCAAAACCCCAAAACCCCAAAACCCCGAGAGATAGTATTAATTAATAAAAGAGGGGTATGAAAATATTATTCAAAAATAAGAGATATTAAATACATGCAATTACAAAAAGAAGAGCAAGGCTTTTAGAAATTCAAAAACTTCTTGCAGGAGAGAGATTAAGATTAGATGGTCACTAAGATCTGTTTAACAGGTGGACCTTGCGCCGGTAAGACTACTGCAATGACTCATTTGACCAATGTGCTATCATCTTTTGGATACAGAGTATTTTGCGTACCAGAAGCGGCAACATTGTTTTAAAAAGGAGGAGCAATGATCAACATGTGTGACTTTACTTTTGATATGCAAGTCAAGTTCCAAATCTATTTGATGAAGATGCAAATTAATTTAGAGGATACTTTCCATTAGTTGGCTTAGAACGAGGGCAAAAAGTCAGTGCTTTTGTGTGATAGAGGACTTATGGACGGATCAGCTTATGTGAGTCAAGATTAATGGGAAGCAGTATTAGATGAAATGGGATGGAATGTTTATTAGTTGAAAGATAAGAGATATGATTTGGTTCTACACTTGGTGACTGCTGCCGATGGTGCTCCAGATTTTTACAATAAAAGTAATGAAGCCAGATACGAAAGTGTTGAAGAGGCAATGAATGTTGATCGTAAATTACAGCAAGCCTACTTAGGTCACCATAACTTTTACATCATAGATAACGATCAGCGTGACTTCAACTAGAAGATTGATTTATGTGTAAGAGTTGTTACGAAGTGTTTAGGATTGCCTACACCTAACTCTTACTTCAAGAAATTCCTCATTAAAATATCAAACCCACTTGATCATTCAACTTTTGGTCTCCCGGAAAATAACTTCTATGACACTTTTGAACTTGAAGAAACTTTATTGATTCCTGACTTCTCAGTATCAGTCGATTCAGAGTCAAAAGTTGAAGTTTATCTTAGAAAGCGTGGCAAGAACATGCAGTATGTGCACAATTTCGAAATTAGATACACACAGAATAATAAACGTATTTCAGAATAAAAAATCATTACTGCCAGAAAATATCTAGAGTTATACCAGTAAAAGGATCCAAAAAAGAAAACACTGAAGAAAAAAAGAACCTGCTTTATCTGGCACGGATAACCATATCAACTAGATACACTTACAAACATAGAAGGGCATCCAGTATTTTTGAGAGCAGAGGTTTAAGATGATAAAATATATCTACCGGACTTCATTGAATGCATCCGTGATGTGACCAAAGAAGAATTTTTCACCAGCAAGAATATGGCTGATTTGGAGTTTTATTATGATGAGGCTATTCACGGAAAAAGAGAAAAGATCGAATTTGCCAGAATCGATGAATAGAAAGTAATTAGATACGAAACAACTCCCAAAAACGATGGAGATGGAGAGAAGCTTAGAGAGAAGTCTGATGAAGATTCCCATAAGGAGGCTTAATGATCTCAATCAATATCATAGATGGTTGGGAAAAGGAGTATTTTAATGGATGTTTGGTTTTGCTAATATAAAACTGAAATCATATTTTTTAAATGTTTGGTACTAAGCCAATTTAAAACCTATTCTCAATTTCAATTCATTTTAATCAATTTTAAAAATGCTCTAAATCCTACATCACGGGGTTTTGGGGTTTTGGGGTTTTGGGGTTTTGGGG